TAATTCTTTGGCCCCCGTCTTCTTAGGAATTAGTGCCATAAAGGTGGCATTCATGCTTTTTTCAAAAACTCCCCGACTATGGAAGTTCTGAACTGTTGCTACCACATCATCCTTGATTATCTCCCAACACTTGTTGAAGAAAGCCATTGAGAACTCATCAGGCCCGAGTGCTTTGTCACCTGCACATGCCCTCACACTGTCCCAGATTTCCTGTTCTTCAAATGGACTCTGTAGCAATAAATTGTTTTCTGTTGAAATCATTGGATGGTTCCTGCTAGTCACTGTTGGTCTCCACTCCTCTTCTTTAGTGTAAAGCTTTTTATAGAATTTGATGATTTCCCTCTTAATATCTTCTGAGCTTTGAAAAGTTTCCCCTTCCACCATCAACTGATCAATATGGTTGAATCTCCTATGGGCATTTGCAGTTCTGAAGAAAAACTTTGTGTTTCTATCTCCCTCTTTCAGCCACAGTGCCCTGGATCTCTGCGTCCAAGCTATTTCTTCTCTGTTTGCAATCTCCTCAAGTTCCATGGACAAAGATGTTTTAGATAAAATTTCCCCATCATTCAAAACCCTTTGTTCATGTACCTTATCCAAGTCTGCCAGTTGAGTGAGAATGCTTGATTTCTGCATGGCTAAATTACCTTCAACTGATTTACTCCATTCCTTAAGTTTTGCTTTTAAGGCTTTGGGTTTAAAGGCCAGAATAAAGTCGGGCCTTCCTAGGCAAGTAAAGGACTTCCACCACTCTTCTATTCTGCTAGTGAACCCTTCAGTTTGAAGCCACCAATTCTCGAACTTGAAATATGTCTTGACCGGTTCCCAGGAGCCTGATTGAAGCATTAAAGGGGAGTGATCTGCCCTCACTGTCTGCATCAATTGTTGCTTTATATTGGTAAACTTTTCATTCCAATCAGCTGAGAACAAGAATCTGTCCAATCTGGCCGCTGCTACATAGACATATTTTTATAACTCTATTTTAAAATATTTGAATTATTTTCAGCCGAATTTCATGCACCCGTATTCGTACCTGGATCCGTACCTCCGAATCTTAAAATTTAGATCATGAAGGATCTGACCTCTAGATCCGCACCCGTATCAGACACCCGCACTCGAGTCCGAGCAACTTAGACGGAATGCATGGACCAATTCTACAGGATGTGGTTTGTCTCAAGGAAGCTTTAGTTCATCCCTTTTTTGGGATAAGTTCATCCTTTATAGTTTAAAAATGAAGAGGGTAAGTGCAGTAGAAAACAAGGATATCTGGTCTATAAGCTGGTAAGAGTGTGTAAAAAATCATGGAAAGGTACTGTCAATTAGGTTGAAAGTGCTAATAAACACCTTAATCAACCACATAGAATGCCTTTGGAGGAGGGAGAGATTTTAGATGCCAGTAATTAAATGAAACTGTAGATTCGAGGTTGAGATGCAGAAAATTGAAATATTCTGCAGATTAGATAATTAAATCTACGATGAGCTCTCTGTGATGATTAATAGAGCTCTTGAGGATCTTTTTGGGAGCTATTGAGGCATCCAACAATAGACTCACTGTTGTTCTTTTTATTTGTTAAGAAGTTGATTTGTAAAATTGGAATGGAAATGGGAAGGGAATCATGAAGCATAACAAAAAAAATTATTAATAAGGGAGGGAGAGAGAGAACAAGAATCTTAAATAGAGTACTCTAATGAGCTAGTCAATACAGAGAGGAATAACTCCAATTACAAAGACATTAGCTAATCACATGGGAAAACGAAAGACAAGACCTAACCGACTACTTATAGCCAAATCAAAAACAAAAGGGAAATTGTTAAAATGGAGGAAGTTGTGGAAGAAAAGGCCAGAAATGCGTCGTGAACGGTAACCATCAGAAAAGGTGAAGTAATGGAAGACAAGACCATCACAGGCTGCTACCAAATGCAGCATGGGTGGATAACTATTCCTTTTTTTTCTTGAGAAGGGGATGGGTGGTAACTATTTTTTTTTTTTTTTTT